AATCTTGTCTAATTTGAACATTCCCCACAATGGCCATTGCAATTCTGGGTTGTTTTTGGTAAAATCTTGCCATCTTGTTATATCTGCAACTTCCGAGACTATAGTTGTTAAACATAAAATAAGCAGGTATGCCGGAAGGTGGCGTGCTCAACTCTCTGGATATAAAGGGTCTCATTTCTTTTAGCTAGCCATACTAATAACCTGGGGAGCTGGGAAAGGACTGAACCTGCAGGCCCTAAAGAGTGGGGATGCCAGACTAATTCCAAACAAATGGGGAACTGCAGCTGCCACCAACACTTCCCAACATGGAATCTGGAGATCTGGGTGGAAACCAAAGGGCTAGGGTTTCTTTTCAGCTTCTGAGATACCCCCTTAGCAATAGCCTTTATCTACACAAAATAAGACAAACAAACATGTGCACCTTAATATATTGGCAGTAACCAAGAAATGTTACCATGTCCTGGCCACAAAAAGGCCCTGTGCTCACCACCAACATGGAACCTTGGATTGGGGAAAGGATTGAAGCAGCAAACCCCAGGGAATAGGAACTGCAGACTGATTCCAAACAAAATGGAGGACTGCAGCTGCCACCAGCAGTTCCCAACATGGAATCTGGAGAAGGATTCCAAACAAATGGGGGACTGCAGTCTAAACCCATCAGCAGTTCCCAACGTGGAATCCAGGGACAGAGCTAAGGGTTGTGATTTTCCACTCAGGGAATTGTGGTCTAAAAGACTAGGGGCTTGGCTCTGGGCAGAACCGTCTGCCAGCTCAATTGGATCCAGGAAGAATCCTTTGCCAGCTCAGCTGAGCTCCAGACAGAATCCTCTGCCAGCCCAATTGTGCTCTGGACAGAATCCTCTGTCAGCTCAATTGGGCTCCAGGCAGAATCATCTATCAGCTCAAGTGGACCTGCCCTGTAAAGGAAAGCCAATTAGATTGGGAGCTCGGATACAAAAAGAGAGTGGAGCTCAAACCAAGAGGAACTCATCAACAACCCTTGGAAATGGCAAAGAAAAACAGTGAACTCAAAAGGCTTCAGGGGTGCCAGGTCTGTGTTTCTCATTGTTCCTAAATGCTGTCAAAAGTTCGCTTAGGTCACTCCACTGCTACCAAATCTGTTAAAAAACAAAATTCAACCAAGTAGATTTGAAGGGCTAATTAGCTTTATTAAGCAATTCATGAATCATGAATCATGCAGCACCCCATCTAACAAGTGAAGGGCACTCCAAGGGGTGGTACAAAATGGAAGGTTTTTACAGGCAGAAGGAGGGCGGGGCAAGAATGTATTAGCAAAAGAAAAGAAAGGATTGTTTCAGGCCAGGACCTCTTGTTTTGGGGGGAAGGGAATGGCAATGATTTTATTACACAGATTGCTTCTTCTTCCTCAGGGGGATGGAGAGAGCCCACATGGCAGATTACCTCATTGGTACTGACCAGAAAATTCCAGACTGGTTGATTATGATTATATTTCTAGAAATGGTCAAAACTGCAGATAGGTTAGGTATTAAATCTAGGTTTGGTATCATGGGCTTTAGCACAAGTGACACCATTTTGGGCCTGTGGTTTTTCTCTTTAATATATATCTCTCCTGGCAAGTAGATAGATGCTAAGAAAAAGCTGGGGAGAGTTCATAAAGGGCACGCAGAGTGGTGAGAAAAGCGGGAAGGAAAATCTATCTCATGCTATGAGAAATACGAGACTTCCTTCCACATGTTCCTTCCAGAGCATAGAACAATATAAGATGATATACATTTCAGAGGCAGAGGTTTTTGTTAGAAGTTTTTGTTAGTTAATTTGAAAAAGAATTTAAGAAGAGAGTTTCCAACTAAGGCAGATGAGTCCCACAGTATTAATACAGTTAAGCAAATATTGGAGGATCATAGGAAATGAGGTTGAATAAATTACATGTTTTATCAGACATCTTTGGGCTTTGGAACTGCTGACAGCCCACTGTGGAATATTAAATCTCACATTTCTCAATTTGCCTTTTTATTGATGTTGGGGAGGAGATTGTATATGAAAAATTTCTTCTCCCAACATTTATAAAATATTATATATGCATTAACATATGTGTAAATATTTATTTTTAAGTGCATCTTTGGCTGGGCTCCCCCAGAAGCTGACCCTGAGACAAAGATTTAGTGCAGGTAGTTTATTTGGGAGGTGACCCCAGGAAACACGGGTTGGGAAGTGAGCAAGTGAGACAGGTAGAGGAAAAGAGCTGATACAGGGGTCATTAATGACGACAGTTTCAGCCTTTCTTGGTTGATAGCATCCTTTAAGAGTCTGATGAAAACCATGGATTCCCTTCCCCACAAAACAAACCCACATGCACAACATAGAGCATATTATTTTTAGAGCCTCATAAGTAACCTTAAGCGACTTTGTGGGTCCTGGATTAAGCTATAAGGTGACAGGAACTATCCAAATTGTGTGTGTTGTGATTTTGGGTACTTTCAGAAAGAATTTTCCAATTTTAGAAAATTCCCCTGGAAAGGATCTCTTCTTATTAAGAATATCTGTCTCCCACAGGCAGTTCTCATGTTAGGTCTACAAGTGCAGAAAGCCCAACAGCCTCAAGTGGCAGGCAGGATTTCAGATTCTAATTCATGAGTAGATCAGGTAGGTTTCTTCCAACTGTAATTTAAACCACAAACTCTGCCTAGCCAAACTAGGTCAAAATCAATGCCACAGAGAGGTTATCTCAAATTAGAAATTAGCTGGGACCAAGGAACATATCTAATTGATTAAGTATCTTATAGGAAGGACTGAAGCATTATGAGTAATGATGGTGGCAGGGATCTAGATTCCAAAATAGAGGTCTTTTCTGTCCCTGACCCATTGTTTAGAAACTTGCTGTTCTGGAAAGCCAATAGAGCAGAGAAAAATGTAACTTGGAATCAGGCAGACCTGGTGCCACATCCTGGTGGCACACATAATTTGTGTGTCTCTGAGCAAGTTAGGCTGTCTCTCCAATCCTCACTTTTCACATCTGTCCAGTGGGTGAATACTCGTTCCCTTACAAGGTTCTTGTGGGAGTTCAAATGAGAGATGAAAGTATCTGGTATATCTCTTGCCTTCATTTCAGTGTCTTGATTCTAATTCCCTTATTATCATAGCAATCATGTCCCCAAATAGCATAATGATACTCAGATTGAACAAAAAATACTGCTTCAATTACTCCTGCATTCATATGCTGTTGAAGAACTGTTCATACTGGTCGGATTCAATTACCACAAGCATCTCTGGAAGAAAATCTCTACATTGTAAAGAGCTCTAAGTCTTAGCTGATAGTCTTTTTATTTCAACCCACCATGATCAAATTAGAGAACTATGGAGAGAGGTGGGAAGGAGCAAAGAAATAATCTAACCCAACCCCTAGTTTTACAGTGAGAGAAGTGAGGCCCCGAGCGGTTAAATATCTTGCTCAAGTCACAAAACCAGTGAATGACAGAAAGAGTACTGAGGTCCAGCTCCCCAGACTCCGAATCCTGTGGTCTCTCTGCTATATCATGTATTCCATACTAATAAAACTAAAGCGCAAAAAAAGAAATTTGTAAAATCTCTTAGAATTCCATGTTATGAGATGCTAGCTTTATCTGGAATATTCTTAGAAGAGAATGAACAGAAAGTGCCTTGATAGGTAGCGAGCCATTCAGTATGTGGTTTGAGATCCTCATTAGTTTCACCTGTTTTGGCTTCTGGATCATTCTGGCCTGGTGTTAGGTACCCAGGAGGTGAGAAAGGCAGGCAGTGTGGTGGGAATTGTACCAAACAGCTGAACGGAAGACCCGGATTCTAATTTCAGTTCCAGCACCAACTCAGTGTGTGAGGTTAAGCAACATCCTTGACCCCTCTAAGCTTCTACTTCTTTATCTGAAAAACAGTGTTTTCACAAAAGGATGCTTCTAGGGTCCCTTTCGGCTCTCACGATCCAGTTTCCCCAGGAAGCCCCCAGCCCTTTCACAGTCTCAGTAAACTGTCCCAAGGAGCTGGTTGCATGAGAAGGAGGAAAAGAAAATCTAAGTAGGAAGGAAGAGGGGAGACTGGAAGGCAGTGAGGAGCCAAGGGAAGCAAGCTGGAAAGCAAGTGCTTGAGCAGAGGGTACGTGGCAGCAAGAAGCCAGGAAGGCAAGGAACCTTCACACTGGCCCACTCAGGGAGGCAGCGACTTGAGATTTGGCTCTTGGATGTGTTTACACTCAACGCAAACACAAAATGGCTCCCCCTCATTCACCCACTCATTCAAGCAATACTTCTTTCTTTTTTTTTGGTAACAGCTTTATTGACACATAATTCACATATTATACAATCTGCCCATTTTAAAGTGCACAATTCAGTGGTTTTTCACGTATTCAGATTTGTGCAATCATCACAATCAATTTCAGAACATTTTCATCACTCCAAAAGGAAACTCAACAGCCTTCAACTATACCTCCCCATCCTTCCATCTCTTCCCCTGGCTCTAAGAAACTACTCATCTACTCTCTGTCTCTGTAGATTTGCCTATTCTTGACATTTTTTATAATATACAAATGGAATCATACAATATGTGGTCTTTAGTGTCTGGCTTCTTTCACTTAGAATAATGCCCTCAAGTTTCATCCATATTGTAATGTGTCAATCCTTCATTCCTTTTTATGTGTGAGTAATATTCTATGAGATAAATATACCACATTTGTTTGTCCATTCATCAGTTGACAGACATTTGCATTGTTTTCACGTTTTGGCTATTATGAATAACGCTGCTATGAACATTTTTATACAAATATTTTTGTGGATCCATCAATAATTTCTGAGGCCTGTTTCACACCAAAACTTCTGGAACCTAGAGATAACAAAAATGAAGATAACTAGGCCCCATGGCCTAGTAATTAAGTTCAGTGCACTCCACTTCAGCAGCCTGGGTTGGCTCATTCAGATCCCAGGTGCAGACCTATACTACATGTCAGCCATGCTGTAGCAGCAACCCACATATAAAGTAGAGGAAGCCTGGCGTGGATGTTATCTCAGGGCTAATCTTCTTCAGCAAAAAATAATAAATAAGTAAATAAATAAAAATGAAGATAACCATTGCCCTCAGGAAAGTCACAATCTTATAGGGGGAGAAAGACTTGTTTCTAAAAAGCTGCAATAATCTGCTGTGCTGTGTCAGACAGTGGGAGATGCAAAGAGAGAGGCAAAGAAGTTATGACACTTGAGAGAGGTGTTGAAGGTGTTAGCCTTAGGCATAGAAGAGGGAGAGGGCATTACAGGCTACGGAAACTGCACGTACAAAGGCACAGAGGTGTCAAAGAGAATGCCACATTCAGATCAACATAAATAATAATAATGCTACCCAATCTTCCATGATATTTGCTATGTGTCAGGCACTGCTTTACATACTCTGTATCAATTCATTTACTGTCCACAGACGCCTTATGATATTATGTCCCCTATTTTATAGATGGGCAAACTGAAGCACAGAAGGGTAAGTAACTTATCTGAGACTACACAACTAGTGAGATCCTGGATTCAAAGCCAGAATCTGGATCTAAAGCCTACAATCTGAGCCACCATGGGGACTGCCTCATTTAATCCCGAATCATCCTAGCTAGTTAGATTATGGAGTGTGTAAGGGGGTATGCCAGGAGATGACATCAGAAGGGCAGGCTGTGCTGAGCCATATGAAGAAATTCTAACTCCAAAAGCAAACAGGAGCCATCAAAGGTTCATACGCAAGGCAATGACACATGAGATTTTTGTTTTAGGAAGACAAATGGCAATGGTGGGAGGGTTGATTGAAACCAGGGAGAGACCATGAGTTTGTTTCACTATCACTACCACTTGGAAGCAAACACTGCCCCTGCCACCCTTCCCCATACAACACACCCATTACGGGCGTGAAATTGCAAAAGCAGTGTTGGTTGTGCTCTCCCGGATGCAATCTTTTCAGAAAGATGCCACAGTCAAGATTTTATAAAGATAGCTCTCATTTTTCATCCCCCAACTTTGCTATCGTAGGGATGAGCCTGATTCCCAGTGAACCAGGGCTGGGAGTGGACATAGATCTAACCCTGCAGAGTCATAAATTCTGAGCACCCGTGGCTCTCACATATATTTTTACAAACACGCCAAGAGACAGGATGCTAATAAACAAAAGGCTCATGTGTCAGAGGACCATCTGATCTGGTTTCTTCCATATACACATTAATAAAGTGGCTGGCCCTCCATACAGCAATAGTTTGCAGAACTCTCGGCCCTGTTTACTTGTCCTCACCTTTGAGTTTTAACTGTACCTTCCTGTCCCCTAACAGAGCTCACATGAACTACAGAACCAGCCAGGGGAGTTCCAAGGGCACTCCTGATTGAGTGCTAATTGAAAACCAGACGCGACTATAACACCTATGCAAGGCTCATAGAAAATGTACTCTCTGTCATTATCCCTGTGCCCTAGAATCAAGGCTGTTTTATGGAACATAGAGGACGATCTTTGAGCTAGCAAGAGTTCCTATTTAACTCCCAAATCCTCACAATCCCATTATGAGGCTGCTGTGATCATTTCCATTGCACAGGTAGAGAAGCAGAGAGAGAAGAAAGGACTAGTGGATTGACCTGCTGTATTCAAAATTGTGCTGGTAAAACATACGGCTCTGGGCAAATCAGCTCACTTCACCTTCTCCCCAGATCGTTGTTTTTCTGTTAACATCACCAGCCGTCTTCTAGGGTCTGAGATGGTGCTGGCCTCAGCAACTGCAACACTTGGTAAGCACGTCTTTAGTGTCTTGCCTTTTTAGCCAGGATCGTAGTAGGGGTGCCACAAATATCAGCTGAATGAATGAATGAATAAACAAATGTTGGAAATATCTCTTGGGGTTAATTACTAAAGTATCACCCATCTCTCTCTCTCTCCCTCTCTCTCTATATATACATACATATACATATGCATATATGTATATACAGATTTGTGTATACATATATGTATTAATGAATATATAAATATCTATATCTATATAAAAGCTATGAGTGTCTTTTGTATTATCTGAACTGAGTTATCTATTTTGGAAAATAACTGAAAATACCAACATTGCTAACTTTTGTGGCATGTTTACTACACAGTAAGAACTGTTCTAAGCTCTTTAAATGTTTTAACTCATTTAATTGCCACAACAATCCTTTGTGGGAGAAGCTATTATTTTTCCATTTTACAGATGAAGAAATTGAGACACAAAGAGTCTGAATACTTTGTTCACATTTTCACAGCTGGTAAGTGGAAGAGTGAGGATCTGAACGCAGGTAGTCTGGCTCTAATCCTGAATTCTTACATTCAAAGATAAAGACAACTCCTGAAACTGCTGAATGAGAAAATGATATGTATTATATTCACCTCCATCATAATTTGGCTCCCCTGGAGAGAGGCTGGTCATTTACCCTGTAGCCCTGAGTAACCTGATTGTTTTAAGTGTAACCCAAATAAAATTGGGTTGCCTTGAGGCCAATCTCTGTCTCAGCATATCCAAAAGAAACAAAAATCTAATTACCAAAAGCCTTTTAAAGCAGCAAAAATCTCTTGAGATGCTGATGAGGGAGGAATTTTATCATGAAACATACAGGAAGACTAATTAAAATCTCCTCCACACACTGCTCTTTCCAAAATCTGTCTGTTTGACTTTTTCTCTTTTCTCTCTCCCTCCGCCTTCTAGCCCCTGTCCCCATGCTGGTTTGTCTTACTTTCTTTCTCTCTCTTCTTCTCCCTACCTCATCTGTGCTCACAAATAGTGCTCCCATTCTCCTTCCCACTCGTCCTGACCCTGAGCGGCTGCCAAAGGCCTCAGCAGCAAAGCAGGCAATAGGTCCTTTCTCCCTATGAGGCACGAGAGGAGGTAAATTGAAAATACTTGTAATTCCTTTATTCCTGACCACAACTCCACAACATGGGCACTACTATTATCCCCATTTTACAGATGTGTAGATTGAGGCTTAGAGAGGTTAAGTAACTTTCTTAAAACGACACAGCTGGTCAAGGCTGCGGCGGGACTTGAATCTTTAAGGATCTGAACCTGTAGCCCGTGCTCTGAACATCTTTGCTATGTTGCAGGTGGTTTATGGGCAAACACACAATGATCAGGAGCTGGTTGACTTTGGGGAACTTTTTCTGGCTTCACGGGCAATGTTGGAGACGGAGGCGATGACTAGCTTCTGAAGAGTTTTACATGCTTTGTTGAAGACGTTAGACTGTTCTTTAGGCATTGGGAAACTACTGAAGATTTTAGTCAGGGAAGTTTTAAAATGGGCTGTTTTGCTTTTTAGGACAATGACTCTGACAACAGTGTGGGGAGTGAATTGGTGTCCTAAAGCCTTCCAAAGCGTTTTTTTCTTCCTTTTTTGCTGCTTGGTCAATAAGTTTATTGTCCTTATCTGAAAAATCCTCACAGAAAATTATTGTGGTTTGGTTTATTAGCCCTCAGCAACCCGCTCCTGCATACACTGTGTTCTTCCCCTGGTTCAGGCCTGCTTTCTTAGAGGGCTGGGGGAGGGAGGTGGGACTGCTTGACCTAAGATACATCTGGGGGATTGAAGTGCATTCTGAGAAATAACTCTCCTTAAGGGGAAAAAACAATAGATGTATCATGTTTATTTAGAGGCAATAAGATAAATTTGTAAGAGAAGGGCAAGGATTCTAAGAAAAGATCAATTTGTCATTCAGATTGCCTTCTGTCTCAGACCTCATGGATTCACAACCAAGTCGTAAGGTAAGAGGGCTACAATAAGAAACAAATAAAATCTTAAAAACGATCCAGTTCACTAGCACAAATACCCACTTGGCAGCAAGAACTTGGCCTCCAGCAGCACCGGTGTCCACAATCCCCACAGGGATGGGTAACAATGCCCTCGGTTCTGGCATCGGCAGCAATGGCCACACCTCAGTGGCCTCAGTGGGCATTGGTGGACACTGGCAGCAGTGAGGTATCTGCTGCTTTTGACAATGATGACAATGCATATCTTTAAAGCAAGCCAAAGTAGAATAGGAAAATGTCTGCTCTTGTGTAGTAGCCAAGAAGACTGGTTCCCAGAATGCATGTGAAACATCCCCTGGAGAATATCAAAACCATTCAGAACCCATCTGAGGGGATCTGGAATTGCAACAGATGATTAGGGGCGAGGCAAGAGGAGGACAGTTTTGTGACAGATATTCTGGCCCTGATTTTTACTCTCATCCTGGGGTTATGTGGCCTGGGGAAGTCCAAGGGTCCACTGCAATGTTATAGGTCAGAGATGATAAGAGTGGAAGCAAGGAACAATGTGAGCTAAGGGGAGGTGATAGATACAAGAAATGGTTAAAAGAAAAATTGCCAGAATATGGTAAGTGGCTATAGAGAGTAAAGGAGAAGGGAGAGTCTTGGGTGACATCCTGGTCAATTGATGGTGCCATTAACCAAATTAGAGAAGTCAAGGAGAGGAGCTTGAATAGGAAGATGATGAATTCCGCCCTGAGGCCTGTTGAATTTGAGGAGTCTGGACTAAAGGGGAGGTACAATTTAACATGTGACAGGAGAGGTGCATTTAGGAGATATCTGCATAGAGATTGTAAATGCAACCTTGGGATAAAACGAGTCATGGCAAGTATGCTGAGTGAAGAGAGAAGAGAAATAAGAACGAGTCCTCGAGTAAAGTGAATAGTTAGATACTTGTTAACCAACTGAATGTAGATAATAAAAGAGTTTTATAGGTCTAAATATCAGGTGAATATGGGCTGTTGGGAGAGGTCGAACCCAGACTGAGGGGAAAAATAAAATAGTGTGATGATGAGTTTGTTTTTTAAAGGAGCATGGGTACTGTGATAAAAAGAATGCCAACAGACACCTCAACAAAATCCCTTTAGAAGGAGAACTCATGTTGGGATCTGCTCATAGATGAGTGTCAAATTAAGAAGAGACTTTGATATTCCAAAGCCTGGTGGACTGGATATTTTCAGCACCCTCAGTCTCTTCCAAGTGACTCAGCGCTTGAGAAATGTCGAGTCACTGGGGAAGAGGCTGATTCCAGTTGATCTTTTCTTAGGACTAGGCTCAGCTGTCAGAACAGGAAAAGTTCCCCTTTGCTTAGCCAGACAAGAATAATACCAGGGCCGTATTGAAAGCACAGTTAAGGTGAATCCTCATCAGCTAGAATAATTTCAACTTGCCCTACAGCATCATCATTCAAGTTAATTATAAAGTTTTTCTCCAATCAGCCATCTTTCTCCCTTTAAAGAAACTTCTAAATGGGTTTTCCTTCTGGACTGAAATTTCCACCATAAGAGTCATTGAGTAATAAAACTTTAGGGCAGCCATAGACTGTAAAGTTCAACTAGCTTAATCCTTTTATTTAGATGAGGATAGTTAAGTGCAGAAAGGTAAATCAAGGTTTCCCAATCAAATGCCAGGATCAGGGAGGGAACATCCAGAAGTACAGCAGGCTTTAAATCTGCTTTTTAAACACCTAATTTTCAAGTCCAATATGAAAACAAGTTCCATCCAGCAGAGTTAGCTTCTCCCCAGCTTCAGTCAGTAGTTGTTTTAAAGGATTGCGAACCTGTTGCTGCCAGACCTTCCAAATGTGTTTACTTCTCTTTTTCTCTCTTTCGCCTCCAGCTGCTCCATGCTCTTTCCACAAACCTTATCTCATCTTCTGAAAATAGGCTGTTGATGAGGATGAAGGCACAAATAACGTTCCTAGAGTTTCCCTGTTATTCTTTGAACATCTGTTGGTTTTCTGCATTTCAGATGGATGTAGAATGTTCCAGATTTCTACAGCCTGGGTCATTTGGAACACAACACCCATGTTTTAGTTCTGTTTACCTCTCCCTGTTTCTCTTCTTACAGACTTTTTTCTGCAACAATTTCAAACACAAAACTAAATAGATTTTAAACAATCGTGTAGTAATGTCTTCCCAGTAAATAGTAGATTAGGCAACCAGAGTGGTATGATAGGGCAATTTTTCCAGAAGTTCATGGTTAAAAATGCAAATGAGTGCCAGAAACACTTCAACATGTATTTGTCTCTAAGATTATCTACTTGAAACTAGAAGGTTATCAGTGTTAACAGATTGTGGGTAAACTCCATATTAAAACCCAGGTATGTGAGTGTATTATTAGTTGTCTATTGCACAACAAATTACCCTGAATTTTAGAAATTTAAAACAACAGACATTCAAAATCTCCCAGTTTCTGTAGGTCAGGAATCTGAGCACAGCTTAGTTGAGTCCTATATCTCAGGGTCTCTCACAAGCCTGCAATCAAGATATTGGCTGAGGGGGCCAGCTCGGTGGTGCAGTAGTTAAGTACACATGTTCTGCTTCTCCGTAGCCTGGGGTTCGCTGGTTCGGATCCTGGTTGTGGACATGGCACCACTTGGCACACCATGCTGTGGTAGGCGTCCCACGTATAAAGTAGAGGAAGATGGGCATGGATGTCAGCTCAGGGCCAGGCTTCCTCAGCAAAAAGAGGAGGACTGGCAGTAGTTAGCTCAGGGCTAATCTTCCTCAAAAAAAGAAAAGATATTGGCTGAGGCTGTAGTGTCATCTGAAGGTTCAACTGGAGAAGGATCCATTTCCAAACTCATTTATGTGGTTCTTAGGGGGCTCCAGTCCCTTGAGAGTTGTTGGACTGAGGGCCTCAGTTCCTTACTAGTTGTTGGGTGGAAGCCATCCTCAATGCCTTGCCACATGGTCATCTCCAAGATGGCAGTTTGCTTTATGAAAGCCAGCAAGAGAGTCTGCTAGCCAAAGGAAAGTCAGAATCTTTCGTAACCTAATCATGGATCTGACCTCCTATCATCTTTGGCATAT